TTTTTTTTTTTTGCTTTCCTGTCTGTTTTTGCTTTTTGAAAAATGTGAAATGTTTAACAGAGCAGATGTTTGAACAGTAGGTAACATTGTTTGTAAAGATTTTTTTGGGCATTTTAAAAATTCAAATATTAAAAGCCCAATTCAAATGAACGATGTATGTCGATGGCAAAAATGAATCAACCAATAATGTGATAATGGGAGGTTGACAGTCATCATCTTTTTTTCTTTTTTCTTCTCTTATCATATTTGTAAATCTATAGATCGTCCTAAATATTGGATTAAATCTGAAATTTGATTCCTTAAGCACATGCAAATTTCTGAAACGATTTTTAGAATTATTAGCAACCGAAATCTTTAATTCTCGATTTTTTTCCATTAAAAGGTGTTACGCAGTAAGATTGATAGTTTTGAATTAAATTCAATTATCGATTTTAACTAAATTAAATTCCTAATGAGCAACTAATTAGTAATCCTTTTATACTCAATGAGCAAAATGAGGAATGAATTTTATTTCGTCTTCTTTACGACTACTTTTATTAACAAAAAAATGGAATTTAAAAATCTTTACTGATTTTTTTAAAAAAACAAAAAACCAATAAATTGTGGAAAGATTAAATGATCACTATAATTTCATTTGATTTGACCATTGTAACGCTTCGTTGCATTCTTTAATCAAATTAGTATAATTTAATTAATTACAATTCAAAATTGGAATACACTTCCGATTTATTCAAATTGAGAGCACAGGAATGGAAGACACAAAAGTAGGTATCAAAAGTAGGTATCTCCTTCAAATCTGACAGAGCATAAAGATTGAGCAAAACTATATATTGGGTATATTGAACGTTAAATTCGGTGAAGTAGTTGCAAGGGATAGTAAGTGACAAAGTGATGAACATATGACATATCGTATCATTCGTCTTATAAACAGCATCAATTTTGAAATCGGACAATCTCTTGCAATAGAAACGTTCGAAAAAATAATATTTACGTCTGCGAGACCACTACCTATACAATCACGAAAAATATTTCACGGTAAAAAAGTTGGTTTTCAAATTCATACAAAACATAAGGTACTGGAAGTTATTGTTTTAATCTAAGTCATGGATTTAAAGATAATATCAATAGTATTAGCTCGAAATACCTAAAATATTTTCTTTCTAATAAAAATTCCCACCTAGAATTTGAAACGTATGCATATATGATCGAATAACATTAGGATAATCATATGCTGCTGCATTCGAAAGCATTACAAATACATTTGTAAGTAAGTATCGCATCTGAAATCATAGCATAAAAGAATCATGAAATTGAATTCAAAAACGATATTTCCAGTACATATTTGAAAACTAAATCTCTAATTAGGCATTTGGATAGTCGGAGCTATATGCTTAAGTTGACCAAGCCTGCTACCGAAACAAAACTTGTTGTAACCAATACAACCATCTGTCATATCCTAACAATATTATTTTCTTATTCAAACCAAGCGGACTGTTGAGAGACGATTGTGATGACTGTAGAGGAGCAAGAAATTGTTAGTTTCACTGATAATGATTCCACAAAAGTTTGGTATAGAATATCACTGCAATGATGGAATAGTAGCGGCAGCCAGTAAAGGAACAATGAAGGATTCGTAACTTGAAGAATTATGAATAGGCCCAGCCAGATGTTAGAAAATTAAGTAAACACTCCAAAGCATTGATAGCCATGTCTAGTGACTAATCACATGACTTGACAGCTGACATAACATACCGTGGATGGCTTTGTCACAATCTTGTCTCATTTCACATAGAACGAGTGTAATAATTACATAACCAGAAAAAGTGAACCAAGATGAATAAATTACTGATTCAAGATAAATAACCATCTTGAATTAATAATTTATTCATCTCAAAAACTTCAATAAAATTCCCAAAATTTCAAAGCGTATTTTGAAAATTTCGTGAAAACCTTTTCGTAAATGAGTAAACAAGTATCCCACAAACATTTCTGTCGTCTTTTCTGATAGTGGCTGCTGTCATTCTCAAATGCTTCCGCAAAGTACTCACCATCAAATCACATATTTTGCATTTCCTATTTCTGTGCATCCCAAATTATGTACCACGACAATGTAGAAAGCCACATCAGGTAATAGATAACTATTAATATCGATCACAGCTTTCGAATTTTTCAACCTAACTGAATTTCCCTTGGTTCATACGGTTCACATCCCCATAAAGTGAAAAATCTAAAACAATCCACTATTCAAGTACCCAAATATCTAGGAGTTCAAATAGCTGAGCAAATTTATGAGAAAAAAACAAAAGTAAAGGAAGAAAGAAATCAATAATGGAACAATTTAACCAATAATAAGAAAATTCAAGGACTAATCGAATTTTAACTGACACAGCGAGAGTCTTCCTCTTCCATTATTTTATCAAAATTTCACCTTGTTGTTCAGATGCCATTCAGTTATATCAATACAACCGAATTTGAACCAACTACTACTATCCTCTTCGAATGAATGAATAATAATGGCCATTATTATCTTACTCAAATCTACAATTACTCCAGATTAACAGTATTTTGTGCTACTGAAATTACTAGTATTGAATTTAGTATATTTGCCATCCAGAATTACTTTGTAAACATCGCAAAATTAGAAACAACAAACTTATTATCATTCAGCTTAACTTCTGAGGTCGACCTGATAGCAGCACCACAAACATTATTTGCTTACGGTGGTGTTCTTACAGAGTTTCGCCTGCAATTGTAATCTGATTTTGCTTAATAAAAAACACAGATTTAAATAGAAATAAATCCAAATCGTAAAAGGGAAAAATAAGTGAATATCAGTTAATTTGATTCCTTAATGCTCAGATAACTGTTTATCTATTCTCTACATATTTTCTAATATTCCTAAAAATCCGTAAAAATTCCGAGGAAATGTTCCAAAAATTTACTTTGACACTATCGGTTGTTAAATAATGCATCAACTCTTCTTTCGAAATTTCTCCTACAAATGAACTGATTACGTCAGTGGGAATATATTTAGAGAAAAGAAAGCATGCTAACAATGAAAGTATGATGAAATCCAAATTATTATTTGAAAGTTGTTAATGAAAATTGAGAATAATATCACTGTGGAACTTTTAAATTAACAGACTAGGAGAATCACTGAATAAAAATAATGACGTAAATGTCTTTTAAATTCGTTTAATACGTCGTTTACCTCGAATAAAAATACATGAAATCTCGCTATTCATTATAGCTCATGTACCTATGTTAAAAAACCCTTCAGCTTGAACTAATCCATGAACAATAAAGAGTATCACATCAAGATTAATCGGTACTTCGAAATAATCGTTGTATTTTTGTGGTGAATCGCTGGATCTAGTAAAACATAATCTTCTCACTGGTATCATCTATAAAACAAAAACCTCAATCTTAGTTATCAGTTGATTATTAATTAACAAGCATGGTCCACACATTTCTCCCTATTCCGAATTTCGGAAAAGATATAAAATGCCATTTCTGAAGAAACTGTTTTCTTTCTCGTTCAGTTTTTTACCGCAGAAATTCAGCCCAGGCTTTCGAGCTGAATTTCAAATTCTACAACTTGAAATGGAATAAAAAAAATCTATTTTCTCATTACATTCTTCATATAGATACACATTATCATTGAACCTTTATTCGTTTTTCCTTGCACGTATTCTTTAATCCAATCAATGAGGTTGTTGTGGGAACGTACGTTAACTGTAATTAATGTAAACGTTGATATCTGCAAGAAATGATAGAAAAAATCACAAAAATCATATCTATTCAAGCAAAAATAAGAAATAAAAGAAAAAACAGGAATAGTGAATGACAGCAAAAAGACACATCCAACTTGTCCACAATCTTATTACACATAAAAATTCAATTTGACTGGATGATTTTCACTTTGCTAAATGTTTTTAATTTTTTCATCTACCTCCGTGAGCACAAACAATTTTTGGTAGCTTTGAAACGTATGAATTGTGACACTTTTCTTGTCTCAAAATTATAACAGCTTTTTTCAATACTAATGCTACTCACATGCTGCTATTGTATATAAAATGCTAACCTCTTTAAAAACTATTTACAATTCGACCCATTTCAAAACATCCATTTTCATTTCCATTGGTGATCCTCAACTATTAAAAAGACACCGTTATTTTGAGCGATCTTAAAATAGTAAGAAAAAAGGTTACGGATGATTTTTTCACAAATCACGAAAATTACAATTATAGAATAATTATAAATGCTGGCGGTAATGTGACAGAATTGAGAATAAAGATCTGAATTAAATGCTTATCAACATTGAAAATTATAGATGTGCTTAGATCGAAGTTTAACAAATTGTGGTTTGGCAAGCTCCACCAGTCCATAACCACCAGTTCTAGGTTACAAATCATACTGCTAGTTTAGAAACAATAATTGTCTTCGGATTCAGAACACATGGATTTCGGAAGGTAACGAAAATTCTTCGCGAAAAAAGATCAAAATAATAGGAAGCAGATCTGGAATTAAGTAGCTTTAGTCATGAAATGGCTCAATTAGTTTAAATTTAAATTTAATTCAAAGCTTAATCAGTAAATAAACTTCTTCAAGTGTATCCGTCACATATTTTTTATGTTTTACGAATATTTGATAAACTTGTTAATTTTCCAGAATGTTGGCTAGTCCGGAAAATCCTGAGGTCGCAAACCTTTTGGAATTTTCAAAGAGGGAGCCGGTAATGCTTCAAACATTTCAAAGATTTGTGAGCGAGACAGTCGAGGCAATTATTGCATGCCCTTTTTTCCTCTATTATTAATTGTAAAGTAAGGGCTGTATAATGTGCCTCAAAATTAAAATAAAACTGTAAAACGTAACTTTTCCAGTTTGAAACCTCGCTCATAACCCACTTGGAGGAGGCGGAGAGGAAATTGACGGAATTTGAAGGGCGAAATGTCCATGGTGAAATGGAGGAGGGACCGGCACTTCAGGAGCCGGAATTCGACGAAGAAGAGGTAGAGTGGAGCCCACTGAAGAAAGTGATGATGAGGCCGAGAATTAGCCATCGGGATCAGAGTGGGGTTCTCTGTCAGACGATGAAGAGAATGAACCTGAGGTGACGGTGATCCCAATGGAGACGGGTGGCATAGTAGAACCGGCCGAGCCAGTTCGTGAACTCATCCTGTAAGTTTTAATTTTTATAGCAAATATATAGCAAGTTAATAATTAGAATAAATATTAGTTTCATCTGTTATACAATTTGCACTAAATGAAGTGATTAAATAGAGCTAAATTTAAGCCTATTTCAGACGATCGAGGACGATCAGAATCCCGGTTCTTGCCACGCAGAGAGGGTTGGCTGCAGCAACACCGAAAGCATTTAACCCTGCAGATTTAGAGGAACTTCCGGAATAACTCCGCAACGAGTTGCGTGTGCCACAAGTGGAACCATACACGGTGGTTCATGTGAAAGGAAACAACGACATCGGTATTTTATAATTTTAATAAGTTCGGTCGGTCCTTGATGAAAGTAACTATGTATGTTTAGTGTAACGAAGCAGTGTATCACACTTCGATCTTTCACTACTAAAATCGTATGTATGAGTGGAACCATAAAAGTCATTTCTTTATAATACATCAAAAAGGTCGCAAAAATTTTCATACCGATACTTTAACAAACAATTTGTGCTCAATCAATTCTATTTTCAGTGTATAGTATCTGCAACAGGCAGTTTGAAACACTAAAGGGATGGCGTATTCACGTCTCGAGGATGCACAAGCAGGATGGTATTTCTAAAGGGATTTCCAGTTAGCTTTTAAGATATGTTGGTACATTTGATTCATCCAAAAGATAACAAACTCATTAATTATAAATATTCCTGGGTCTGCGCTCGCTGTGGCCATTACCTCATGCTACCATCTGGATTCACGGCCGCACAGAAAACAACAGCGATAGAGCTTCATGCCCTCGATTGGTGCCCGAGGGCAAGTGCGGCCGTTATCAATGAAAGGCAGGTGAAGCGTCGCAGATTAGATTGTATGGAGAGAACAGGATGCCCACCACCTCTTCATTCCAGGTGGAAAGAAGTAGTATAAGAAAATTCGAATGATTATAGAAAATAAAACAATCATAAAGTTGTTTTCGTATTTTCCTAATCACTTAATCCTTCTTTCAGGCGAGTGACACTATTTGGCCCTCCTCATGCGACCAACTTGTCACTCCCTGTTCCAACTTTTTCCTCTGTCCAACGAAGTGCGTCCAAGGGGGTTAATAAGAAAATAAAAAAAATGCAAAAAAATAGAAATCAAAAAAATGGAAATAAAAAGAATAAAAAATAAAAGTGAATCAGAAAAAAACAAAAAAAAAATAAAAAGAAACAAAAAAACAAAAAAAAATAAAAAAATAAAAAAAGTAGAAAACAAAATAAAAAATGAAAATAAAAAGAATAAAAAAAAAATATAAAGTGAATCAAAAAAAAAATCAAAAAAATGAGAAAGAATAAAAAATTTTCAAAAAAAGTTTCTGTTGTTACAAGTAATTTGAAATTTGATGTGAAAGGAAGTGGGACAATTTAGGAGTTTTGTAGCCATTTTATATTAGCATATGTCATGTTTATGGTGCGATTATCAAAATGGAAGAGATTTAAAAGAAATTTTGTTTGGAATATTGCAAAATTCGAGCGTAACTTAGGAACAAATTCGAATTCGGTTGTTTGCTTTCAGTTTTTTTTTGTTTGTTTTTTCAGTTTTTCTGACCTAACTTTTATTGAATACTTGTTGTTATAATTTATTTATTTTTTCTTTAGATAATATTATGAATAATCAATTGCTGATTTTTAGTTTTCGTTTTTCAAAACTTTCAATAATCGTTGTTTGTTGTTTATAATTGATTGTTTACAGTTGATGTTACTTCACTCATAATTTTGAAGCATTTTTATTGAAACCGTTTTCATTGCTATTTTAAAGTCATCTAAAAATGTTAAATGTTCCCATTGAATTTGATGTACATATCGAGTACCAACTTGGATTATATTTTTTTCATTACTTCACTTGTAACAAGTTCTTCAGTTTTATTAATGCTGTGTTATGCTTTAGGATTTAACTTTGCGTATTAGATAGTTAGATAGCGATTTATTTAAACTATTTTTGATAACACTGGAGTAATTTTTGAAAGTTTTTCTCCGGATTTAGCTTGGCTTCTGATTTCATTATGATGAATCACCAAGCTGAGAAATGATTATGTCTGATTAATTTCCTAATGCATTATTTTTGAATTTTTTTGGGCTAAATAACGAGTTGTACGAGCCTTGTGCTTAGCTTGAGTGAAATATGAATAGTAGGAACGATTGAGGATAGATATAGAATTATTTCGATCTTCGATATATATATATTTCTTTTTTCTTTTGAATTAAGCTAGTGTATGAAAAAATATCAGCTTCTAAAGTGCTGAAAAAGTACCGAAATTTTCAAGTTTTTATTGGAACTTTTTGAGCTCTAGAACAAATTTTTTAACTTTTGACTTCTTCCTTTTCTCGAACCATATTCCTCAACTAACAGAAGTTAGAAATCCTTGAAAGTTTCTGATTACTTTCCGAATTTTTCATTTTTTTGAAACATTTGATTTTTGAATTCGTGCGATTTTTCGAATTACTATGAGTATCGAATATTCTTTCTGAATTTCTTAAATTTTCAACTTTGGAATTTTTCCAAATTTTGTTCTAATTCTTCTCAGCCCTTTGAACCTTTATTTTTTTTTAATATACTTGAATTTTTGGTTTCTAATTTTTCTTAGATTCTTGTAAAATTTGAATTCTTTGGATTTTAGTTAAATTTCTTCAAACCTTCGGATTTTTCGTGGTTTAGTTTTTTTTATTATTTCAACATTTGAACTTTTTGTTTTTAATTTCTCATATATTTTTTAATATTTCCGCGTTTTTGATTTTTGAAATTACTTTAATTTTTTGATTGTCTTTTGGAATCTTAAAATCGACAACTTTTTGAGGTTCGGAGCTGTGCAAAAATGCACTGCTTGTATTTTATTGATTTCTATTTGTGGCATATTTGTTTTCTACTTTATTAAAACATTTTAGATGCTTCTAATTACTTTTTTTGCTGACTTCGTTTTTTTTCTCTTTGGTTACTTCTACTTACTATGCGTGTTTTTCAGAACTTTTTTATCGCAGCAATACAAAGCAATTATTTATTATGTTGTTGATGCATGTATCTTCTGTTGTTTTGCTAACTGCATTTGTTTTCTTTTCTTTTTGCTGATTTCGTTTATCGTTATTATTGGACAATATTTTATACTTTGCAAACTTGCATACATTTTTGGTTACTTCTATTTACTACATGCTATTCGTTAAACTTGCTCACCCGAATAACAGTAATTTGTATTTGTTGTTGTTCGCATGCATTTTCTGTAGTTGTACTAATTGCATGCTTTTTCTGTTAACCTCACTTATTGTTACTGGATAATGTTTTAGATTATTTACAGTCCTCGATTTTTTGTTAACTCTGTTTTTGCATGCAATTTTTGTTAGTTCTACTTACTGAATGTTTTTTGTTGAAGAAACTCGTGTTTTCGCATGCAAATTTTGTTCTACTTACTGTATGTTTTCTGCTTATTTTATTCACCAAAATAACAGTTACAGTTACTGTTTTTGTTGGATGTATTTTCTGTAGTTTTACTAATTGCATGCTTTTTTGTTAATCTCACTATTTTTATTGGATAGTATTTTGGATTACTTATAGTTTTCAATTTTGTTCTTGCATACCTTTTTGGTTACTTTTACTTATTGCATGCTTTTGGTTTTAAAAAAATCGTTTTTTTTTGCATGGTTTTTTGTTTATTTCTATTTACTGCATGCTTTTTGTTGACTTTGCTCATCCGAATAGCAATAATTTGTATTTGTTGTTGTTTGCATGCATTTTCTATAGTTTTAATCATTGTGTACTTGTTAATTTCCCTTGTTGTTATTGAATAGTATTTTGGATTAATTTCATTTTTTTGTTGACTTGTTTTTTTACATACTCTTTTGGTTACCTCTATTGCATGCTTTCTGTTAGCTTTGCTCATCCTCAAAACTGTAATCTGCATTTGTTGTTGACGTATGCATTTTTTGTAGTTTTATTAACTGCATGCTATTTCTTTTTTCTTGTTAATCTCATTTTGGTTAATTGTATTTAATGTAATCTATCGCCTACTCTCTGCATGCTTTTTTGCCTTACTTGCTGCATCACTTTTTGTTAACTTTATTTATTCAACACTTGTTTTCGTTGACTTTACTTACTCTGTGATTTTTCTAATAATTTGTATTTAATTCGTAGTGTGTTTAGAGGAGCAATATGATATTATTGGTACTCCTCATAGTATTCGTTCTTGGCAAGGTAAGACACTTTTTTGGGGTTTGTTATTTATTTTCCAAGGGCTATGCTACTGATTTGGGATAATTTAGAATAATGTGCAGATGAAGGTCAGAACTAAGCCAATAACGGTTTTGTTAGAATCGAGTTATAATTTGGATATTATTTGGCTTTTTTTGCAGGGATATATGAGGTCGTGACGTTGGACAACAATGTTCTTAAGCATTTCTTATTATCCCAAAAAGCCGGAATTCCTCCTTGATTCTATTGGGTTCAATGAAATCATCGCTTCACTGCTTCCGTACCGTTGAAAAGTGATCATGTCGTTCTTTGATTCTCAGGTCAAATGTATTTGCATCTTCTTTGGTTATTTTCATTTTGGTGCATGCTTACTCTTCTCATCATACCAACTATTTGATTAGTTCATTGCCGTACTTTCGTTATTTCTTCCTTTTTAACTACTTGAATTACTCATATCCTTGAGCGGAAAATGTCGATGTTATTAGAAGCCCATTTAAGGCCAGCAAACATAAATCCATGTATCAATCTACCATAAATAATTTGTTGCTTCCTACAGTCATTGCCGGCTTTGCATTTGTTGGCCCACATGCTTAAGGTAGGAATCAGAATGTTCATTACTAAGGCGGAATGTTTGTCATTACGGGTGAAAAAAAAGAGAATATAATTAACAAAAAAGCCATCATATGAATAAGGAACTTTTTCACCAAAACTTCTAGTATGAACGTGATTTATTATGTGATTGAGGATATGAATGAGGATGCGAACATTTATGGCTTCATGATAATTTTAACCTTTCTTCGCCCTCGAAATCAAAAATAATTTGATGCATGACTGCCACATTTGAAAATGATGACACGTAGCACCACACTCAGTGACACGGAACGGCAGATAAGTAGAGTCTGCAATAGCACGACTATTATTACTGCATTGAGAGTTTGTACTTATTTGGTGCTATATTAGCGTTTCATTTTTAGCTTGCTTAGGATCCAACACTCCTCTGTTATCCATCCCAGAAATTTAGGTCTTCACAGACGCTCTGTTATTCGTAATGAAAATGTTCCGATTCATTTAGTTGTTCTTTATATGTGCTAGCAAACACATCAAAAAATTTCATTCAGGTGATTTGGTTTGATGTGAATTTTTGATAAAAACCTCAATATTTAGGCTAATTTCGTGATTATTTAAGGTTTTTGCCAATTTTGATTAGTGTTTCATGGATCTGATATACTGATTACCGTCAAAAATCATTGATTACGTTGCGCACTACCGAGCATAACAAAAATTTTTCATTCAAATGTTTTGGATCAATGAGAATTTTTAAAAAACCCTTTATTTTTAGGCCCATTTCGTGACAAATTACGAATTCTCGCCAAATTTGCCAGTGCTTTATATATCTAATGTATTGATTGCTGTTAAAAATCACTAATCACAGGAAAAAACATCAAAAGAAAGTTCATTCAAGTGTTTTAGACTGATGACAATTTGTAGAAAACCTTTAATTTTTAGACCAATTTTGTGATAATTTAAGGTTTTTGCCAATTTTGATCAGTGTGTTATCGATCTGATATATCGACTGCTGCCAGAAATCACTGATCACGTCATGCACTAGCGAACACACCAAAAAAATTCCAGAAAATTTCGGTACAAGCACTGGATTGTTTCCGGGAAATTATACTGAAACTATTAGTTGATTTCTTTTCAGCTTTATAATCCTTCTCCCTTTTCTTCCTGCCATACAGGGTATTCGGAAAGGATTCCATTAGTGGGTCAGTTTAACATACATTCTGGACAGTACCAATGACCTCGCCTTTTCCTACAAGCAGTATCACTACGTAATAAACGAAATGGATGGGTAACCTTGCGAATGATGGGAAACTTCAAATGTTGTGATTAAGAAAAGACTTTCCTTTGTCAAAAATTTCCATGTTGTTTGCGCAATAATCGAGCGAGGAATTCATATGAAACATATCACCTTATCAATAATTTAGTAAAAGTGACACTTAATTGCAAGTTCTTCATGCATAGCATTTACGTTACCTGCTTGTCATATATGCATTAATAATGAAAAAGCTGTTTGGTAAGATTCAATTAGACACGGAATGGTGAATTTTATTCACTAAGATAACAATAAAGAAATAATAAAGAAATCTTAGAGGAATAATACTAACATACATATAAACCAATAGAATGTTGACAACATAATAAAGAAAAATTTATCATATGGAAAATAAAATAACAATAATTTTCGGTTTAAATGAAATTTCATTTAAAATTTCGGTTTAAATGCGCCTATCAGCCCAACGTGTGATTCTTCATGTGTGAATTCAAATAGGATTTCCGCAGGAAAGCTTTATTGCATACAGTGTAGTTGAATCTGGGCCTATCATTGTCATGAATATTCCTGTGACTTCTCATATTCTGTAATTGGGAAAAATTTTTTCTTGCACACAGAACAAGTGTACAATTTCTCATCGGTATGAGTCTTAATATGTCTACGCAGATTCGATGAATCGATAAAATTCATCTTGCATTCTGAACGAAAGGACGGCTTCTCACCGGTATGAATCCTCATATGTATGCAGACCCGATAACCGGGTAAAATTCTTACATTTCTGGTAGAAAAACGGTTTCTCACCGGTATGAATCCTCACATGTGTATGCAGATGCCACGACTGGATGAAATTCATCTTGCATTTCGAACAGAAGAACAAATTCTCGGCGGTATGACTCATATGTCTATGCAGATTCGATAACTAGATGAAATTCTTCTTACATTTCGGTCAGAAGAACGGCTCACCAGTATGATTCTTCATATACATACGCAGATGCTCTGCCTGGGTGAAATTCATCTTGCATTCCGAACAGAAGAACGGTTTCTCACAGGTATGATTCATCATATGTGTATGCAGATGCGATG